GGATCAGAGCTAGTAATTTGCTCATAGGCATGCATGGGGATGCATTTTAATCCATCAATTATAACGATCATGAATTTACACACTTTTTACTGGTGAAGCCAACTCCAAGTTTGTGTGATTTGAATCAATCGTTTGGATGAATTTTAATGCCCTCTAATTTTATCAACAAAGATAACCAAGCTTTTCTTTGTCTTATTTTTTCGTTTTCCCTAGCTCTATCAATCTTACCTTGGATATATTGAACATCTTCGTTCGTATCGTCCAGCTAGTAATGGGGGGCAGTCAAAGGCGGAAATGAAAATACTGGAGCAAACATTGGGCCAAACGCATCTGCATCTACTTTCAAAAATTCATTTTGGGCATTCCTTATATTCTCATGCTTGTAGTGGAATTTTCATACCATTCTTCATCTTTCATTTTCTATTTTCTCTTAGCCTCATCATCGATTGGCTTCCAAGTATCTTGTTAATTCTACTATAACTGAATAGTTATATCTATCGGAATTAACGTAACTGGTGATTCGATATCTCACTTTCTTACATTTCGATTTTCCATTCCACTCATTCAGTGCCTCGTGTTAACTAACTTCAACGTGCTGCATATCTGAGCTCTGTCTAACTAGCTGATCTTGACTGCATGCTCTCTTCAAGATAAATTTTTCATTGATAAAATACTGCCGACTTGAGTTTACTATTTACGAAGTGCACCATTTAGGTGTTTCGTCGAGTTGATTTAATGCTGACCACAAATAATCAATCTCAGAACTTGAAGTATGTTTTTTGGTCTTTCTAGATGCTCCTATTCCCTCCTCTGCAATTTATCTATATACGAGTATCATATCCATGTTTTAATATGGTCTCTTCGTTAATGCGTCTATACTGTCGACGATCCGGCTAAATGTAAATAATTTTACATTTCGTCAAGATTATCTAAATTTGCAAGTTTACTTCGTTCTGCTTCATAATAATGCCTCATTAAAAAGTTAGGTAAATTAATTACCTGTTAAACCTAGTAGTTAATTTTCCCTTGTAGAGTCACCAATATATACGAAGAGTGATTGAATTTCGATGGCTCTTCTGAGCTAACATTCATCATATCATATTAAAGTGCATGAAGAAGAGATTCGAATCTCAATTTCATCATAATAGGATGGCTGATTTCCGATGTACTGTGGTTGTTTGGCTTTAATATGATGTTCAGTTTATGAAATACCCTCTATCACGTCGAGTAAAAATGACCTGATCCTTCGTCCATTATATGATGGACATCAGAGCTGGAATTCGTTCTTATACAAGTTTATTGACCTAGTGCTAACATGATACCTTTTTAAGAATGAGTTCCAGCTTTGATGATGCCCATCGCATAATTTACAGAGGCTCGGCTCGTTTTTGCCTGAAACGAGAGATGTTTGGTAGGCTGTGCCAACCTAAACGTCGTATTTAGGTAAAACTGGTGCATTGCAACGGGAATCAGCAGTACTCTTCTAATGAGATCGAACTTCGGATCTCTTCTCCATGTACTTTCGCACGAAATGAAAGTCTTCTCAATAGGCCACTCGCGTGTGGGGGGCTCTCATTGGTATTACCACAACGCATCAGATAGGCCTGTTTCTTGTACATACTCTCACTTGATTTGGCACTTAATAGGCAACAGATTCGAATGCTGTATCTTCTTTAAACTAAACGCGATCTGATTACTTATCATATCAGAATTCCCGTCTCGTTTTTATCCAGTTATTTTGACATTTGCATGCATATTCTTCTGAACTGATGATGGCTTTATTTAATGTCATGATCTGGCTTGCAGTCCATTCCGCGTTGGTAGTCAAAGTTGATTCTATTAGAGCAACGTGATAACGCCTATCAGCTGGTCGACACTTCCATGGACCATTCGGCGAGGCAAAATACCTTTGTACAATCGTACAGGTGGCTCTGGTGTACAACGACTAATGATTAAGCCTCCCAGTCCCAGTGCGTGCTCGTGCCGTGGAAGCGTTGGTATAGCCACTAGTTGTAGTGAACATTGTGCGATGTGAGGTTCGGCTCCTGATCTCAGATTGTTGGTTGTGCTTTACAGAGGTACGGCCAAATTGATCCGACTGGCTGGGATCTGGCCAGCAGGCAGCACAGGCCAGGTCTGAGCGTGGAGCGAAGAGTACGTACGTGTCGCGACTAGCCTCTGCGCATAAGTGAGGTTGGTTGGGAAACACCTGATGTATGGAATGTTACATCGGATCTTAATTCTCACGATCAGGTGGAGGATATGCAACAGCTAAACCGATGTAGGTAGAGGTTGAACGGTACATACCCATAACCACCGGCTATAATTTAGTGGCACAATAAATTACGTATTTTATTGACATTGATTGAATCAGAGACTAATTATAACCTAATCGAATAGGATGTCTGGTTGCGTTGAACAAGGCGAATTAATAAACTAGATGTCCATCACAGTAAGAGGGCTTGAGTAGAGCAAAATGGCGGCTTGTCCATCAACTAGTATACTGAATCAGGATCATTGCTGACGAGATGGCTAGTTTCAATTAAGGCCAATCGCCGCTATCGAGTCATGTCAACAAAGTTGCCGTTTCGTGATAATGTTAGAAGGGCTCACAGACCAAATGATTAGCTGAAGAGAAAGCCTTCTTTCGTCCTTCAATTTCACGGTAACTTTAGCTTTAAAGATATTCTCCAACCTTGAACCGGGTTCTCTTGCAACTTCATAAAGGCGTCATGGCACCCTCATTGGGATTCGAACTCTTATAAAAGCATATTGTCGATAAAAGGAGTAATACTGGGTGGTAGAGCCCTCAATTAATTTTCTTCGGCTCAATTACGAGTTCCTGAATTTGATTAAATACTGCAAACGTTTTTGCTCTCAGTTCTAATTAAGTGGCAGCTTATCCGGGTTATCAATTGATTAGTCACGACGTCCAGATGGCATTATAATCCGACCGAAATAAGCCGTAGCAAAAATAACATTTTAAAGTAATGTTATGTTAACATGGTAGTGATGGAAAGTATTGGCAAAGAGTATGAAGAGGATACAAATAAGAAGTTTAGTTATAAAGCTTGTAAGGGATTGGCATGAGTATCAGAATGCTCTCGCGAGTTAGTGTCACATATTATTGTGATAGCTTACATTATATATAAATATACACAAATATATACGTAGTAAAATGCTTTATGCCGAGATGAAAGTGAGCTTCAAACGTCAACATTAGCAGCAGCCAAAAAATTAGAAAAGAATGAAGTAGCAAACACAACGGTAGCTCCATAACGGCACAATGCACAAGTTGTAGGGTATGCTATATTTTAGAGGACGGGCCAAAGACATATTCAACCTAGCCTCACCTGGCCGTCAAAGCAAATTGATCTCATCTCAAAAAGAGAGCACTGCATTCCTCTGTTTTTATAATAGAGAGAGGCTTTTATAAAGGTTAAAATAAGAACAGTTGGTGAAATTGAATAGTCTTAAAGGTCAGTTCAAGAAGGAAGAAAGGAATGCGAACTGGACTAGCTTTTGGTGGAATTAAGGTAACTAAGACGATAGACAAAAACAAATAAGGAAAAGATGTTGCGTAGTGATGTAAGTCCGCAATCGTAGGAGGTATTTGGCTCCAGATGTAGTTAATAAATCGTCAGATGAAGACGAACTAGTCCGCTCATGAGATCCCAACAAAATCCCTGGGTGAGATAATAGGAACAGTTAGTGGAGAAGTTCAATGAAAGGCTTTTAAAGGAACAGGACAGCGACATAAGCCACTAGTAATGTACCTCAATAGGATAATAAAGGAGCGAGGTCGAAGGGCGTGAAGATGACTCGGACAGTTAATGTACCTGAGCAACAGCTTATGGGGGATTAATTTTTGGGGAATCTTTAAAAAAATAACAATGCAGGTTTAAAACGAGAAACGCCTATGTTAAATATGTTTGTTTGTATGCGAGCTTGTGTTTAATTTTTTCCTTAGATAATCGCTCAGTGATAATTGAAATATCCGAACTTAAGATAAAAACGAACACCAAACATACATGGGGACAAACAGATACAGTTTTAGCTCTAAAGCAAATAACAAGATATCTATAATAGAGAAACTTGTTATTGAAAAGAAATGACAGATGCAGTAGGCATGCGGAGAAAAACGGAATCCACAAAACGTGAAAGGGAAGTGAGGTGCATGAAAGATTGAGGTGGATAAATTATCAGATCGCCATTGAGATAAATAATGGGGATACTGAGATATATCATTTGGACAGAGTAGCGAAGAGGGAAAACTAATGGACATGATGACAGAGGTGTGAAGGCTAAACGGTATTCGTAACAAAAATATGCCTGATCGTTGAGACGAAAATGAAGACACCTGACAGTCAAAATGTGGATGAGTACTGGCAGTAATTCTTGCGTGGATCAACAAAGAGTATTGAAAATGGTCTGCATTAAGGAAGGCTAAACATAGCAAGAGCGGGGAAGATAAAAGCAATAACAATATTCTTCCTTATGAAGAGTTTTGGTCACCATATAACTAAGTAGGATGATAGTAAGGTCAAACTATACATAGCACATAAAGCTTTAGAGAAACTACATGTGTCAAAGTAGGGAGTGATGGATAGCCTGTGGTCCTGAGGATGGAGTGAATTCTAATAGACACTTGGCGCGAAAATCTAGTTGAAGAGTAAGGAAGAGATGACACCGGGCAATCATAAGAATGTTGTTAGAAATATAGTGCAAAACAACTTCAACAAATAAAGAGATGTAGGTGGTAAGATGGCTGAAAAAGACAGCTAAATGAAATATATCACGAATAAAGAAAATGCTTAACACTGTGAAAGAGTTACACTAAACCACGTGCAATAACTGCCTTGAGTGCATTGAGATTGAGAAGAAAATACAAAAAAAACATGGAAGAACATTTGCAGAAAGAGAGGACCTATCCATGTTTTCGGGTCTTGAATCTATGCTTGACTTAGAATGAAAGAGAGAAGCCTAAAAAAGAGGATTCAAATGGGCACAAAGATGAATCACAAACAAAAAGTAAAGCAGCTGTGTACAAGTTTCAGTATGAGCGTATTATTAGCTGTGAAAAGAAACAGTGGACGTTGATTAATCGGAATATCACAACAGACGTCTCAAAATGTTAAAGATTTACTTCAAATACTTGGAACCATTTTGAGAAAAGATTTTGATTGATAAAGGGGGGAATGAAGAGATTAATTATAGGATCATAGCCTTTAAAAATAGGGAAACCTACAAGTCGATATTGACTGCATTAGTGGGCAGAGGGAATCAAGCATAGAGAGCATTTAAGTGGCACTTATGTGCAAGTGCTTCTCCATATTTGTCTCTTTGAAAGCATTTATACGTAGGCATCTACAGTAATTGGTTATCATAGTTCCCTAAAGAGAGATGGGAGGCTTTTTGGGGCAAGTTAAAGGGCCTGATAGTTAGGGTCTAAGGAAGGGCTTACTATTAGGGAATTGCCAAGACCAATGCCGGAAGAAGATGGAAACAGGCTGGACGAGGTGAAGATGTAGTGTGGAATGTCTACAGAAGTCGGTATATATATATATATATATATATAAGAGAAGAGCTAAATCACATGTCAATGATGCCTTGTGTCCAACTCAGGTGACTAGGCTAGGCTCTTATTCGATTATTTTTTAGTCTGCGCTTATTTTTTTGCTTCATATTTCACATCTTTTTCCCATTATTAACGGCATTGCAAGAAAGAAAAGGGCATGTCAAATCAGCCATATACAGACGGCCGGGCCTCAATGAAAGACAAGCAATAATGTGAGCATATACATTTCTAATCGGATCTACAAATTGCGACATTGAGTTGAAAGAATAAATGATTGTACACACCTTTTAAGGAGAAAGAGTAGGCAGGATCCGAGGCATATCAAACAGCGAATGAGGCACGGCCGGCTCTGGGGGGTTCGAAATAAACAATTTCTATGAATAGGCTAAGGTACAAAGAATAAAGCGAGCATCACTGACGAAGAAAAATGGTGAGATAGATGGGGATGAATATCTATGTATAGTTTAAAAAGAATACAGAAGGTTATGCACAATTTGCATGTAAAGGGAAAGGACGTAGCACAAGCGTGAGAATGAATATAAAGGGAGGTGAGAGAAAGCAAGAGCCGTTTTTTCGGGACAAAGATACATGATGCAGTCTGAGGGCCACATCGAATATTGGGCGAAAAATGAGACAGTCGACGGCACAAAAACAGTTATCAAGAATGAGGAAGTGAACCCAGTATACTAGCCACGCGTACTACTCGCTGGGCCTGAAATGCTGGTTCCACTACGGAGAGTTACCAAACCGACTCCAGCTGATGTAGTGGAGCTGGTATGCCCAGTTAGTATATCATCTTGTTTAGAAGCAGCCGTAATAGTGACAGTTGTAATATTTGAAGTTAAAGTTGCACTAGAATGGGCTGGTCTTAGGCTTCCAAGACCGGAACCACCTACTCCACCACTAGAAATTACAGATGCGGCAGCTGCAGCGGCTGCGGCAGCTGCAGCAGCGGCGCGAGTAGGCGCTACTGGCGTGATCGGAATATGTCCTGTGGCAGACCAACGGGAAGAAGATGAGGCAGTGGCAGTGGTAGCTCGGCTGCGGCTACCGCCACTGGCATTGCCCGCGCCGCTGCAGCTGCCAGACCAGTAGCCACTTTCAAGACAGGAGGAAGAAGAGGAGGATGAGTGTGAGTATGAACAGGCTGAGCAGGAACAAGAGCCTGAGCAGGACGACGAGACCGTAGTGCCATCTAATGAACTGCAACCGCCCACAGACATAGCGTCAGTTGGCTGACTGCCAGAAGATCGGTCACGCAGCATCAAGTCAGTTGAGAAGTGGAACCCAGATCCAGGAGAGCGTGGGGTGCTGGTATTAGGGCCGAAGCCTGGCCCTGTACCAGCCAAATCGCCACCATTGTCAACAGATTTCGGCGGACATGGCGAGGCGGAAAAGGGGCCAGGCGGTGCCTGAACAGTACGATTGCGAAGGCGAATAGAGCGCATAACTTCCATGTGCACCTGACGTGAGTCCAGATGTGGGGCTTCACTATTACTGTTAACAAAATAGGTGTATATTTGTGAAGCACTTAAGAACAAGATATAAATACGTGAATATACATATACAAATGGGTATATAGTGCAAAATATAGTATCCAATATTTGAGAACTATTTGG